ATAAACAAGGCTGTAAAAAAAAAAAAAAGAAAAAAATACTCTTATTTATTTTGTTGCTCAAGTCATTTTTTTAGCATTAGCCATTGGGAGCTCATTCAGTTGGCTCCTGTGTCTCTTTGACGTGTCCCCATCATTTTGGATTTTTTTTTTTTTTTTGCTTTATCTTTTCTTGAGTACATCCTTCTGACTCTACAAGGTTTTCCAGGCTTATCTTGTATATATCCTGCCCCATAGAATCAGTGTTTTCTTTTTTTTTTTTAAACTAAACTGGATTCTGTAATAGTATTTGTTTGCTTTTTATTTTTAATTATGAATTAGCATGAGGTATTTGTAACGTGATTATATTTTTATCAAAATATCAAGAAAGGTCTGTTTGCTTTGTGACTTTCCAGCTAGCCTGAATTTTTTTCCATTAAAGATATAATTTGGTTTAGTTGCAACCAAGATTCCTATCAAGTGACTAAAGTGGTACCTCATTGTTTACCTGACATTTATCATATTTTCAAAAAATGAACTGGTTCCACACAAGTGAATTTTTCAGATGCTTAAAGCTTAGACTTTTCATTTGTCTGTTCTTTCCTTCCTTCAAGGAACATATTTTAGGCACCTGCCATGTGCTAGACACAGTGCTGGGTACCCAGAACAGAGAGACAAGACACAGCTTTGTTTCTTGAGTAGTCCACGGTCCGGTAGGGACATAGTTATACCTCAGCATGATAAGTGCTATAATAAAATGAAGCTCAAGATGAAGTAGAAGCCAACAGAAAAGATCAAGGATAATTTTTTGACATTTCAAAGGATAAATATTAATTACCCAGATGAAATGGGAGAGAATGAGTCAGGCAGGGAGGTGAAAGGAGATGGGCAAGGATGTTTTAACAAAATGAGTAGCATGTAACTGAAAGAGTATGCCTTTTTCAAGTACTACAAGGTGCTCACTGTGGCTGGAGCATAAAATAAGATGGAGGTAGTGGTGAGAGTTGAAAAGTAAGCCTAGGATCCATCATAAAGGGTCTCATGTGCCATGTTTATATGTTAACATTTTGGTGGGGGGAGCACTGCTGGAGGGTTTTTAGGCAGAGGAGCAAGCAATCACTTTGACATTACTGTGGACAATGATTAGAGTAGCCAAGAAACAAGGTGAGGAATCCATTTCAATAATCTAAACTAGAGATGAGGACCGTGATAACAGAGATTGAGTGAAGTGGATGGATTGGAGAGATAAAAAGGAAGTAGAATCAACACACCTTATCAACATACGGATGTGAGGTTAAAAAAGAGTGGGTGAGGGCTTCCCTGGTGGCTCAGTGGTTGAGAGTCCGCCTGCTGATGCAGGGGACACGGGTTCGTGCCCCGGTCCGGGAAGATCCCACATGCCGCGGAGCGGCTGGGCCCGTGAGCCATGGCCGCTGAGCCTGCGTGTCCGGAGCCTGTGCTCCGCAACGGGAGAGGCCGCAGCAGTGAGGGCCCGCGTACCACACACACACAAAAAAGAGTGGGTGATAATTGAAGTGATAAATAAAACAGACCTTACCTGCATGTACCTGACAATATAGGCTTGTACAAAAATAACCATAATATAATTAAAACTACATTTATGTCCCTTACTGAACAGAAGTTTGTATATCTACTTTACAAATATTTTGGAAGCATTACTGTAGCTTAACGGTCCAGTGATGGTCCCTGTAAAGGAACAGTACATGTGAGGATTAAGTACTGAAGAGCTCTTCAGTATGTCACACTCTCGAGTTCTCAAAAATAGAACCAAATGAACTGAAAAGAAATCAACACTAGAGGTAGGGAAATTTTTCAAATTAAAATTTGAAAAATTTATTTCTCTGGCACAATCCTTATAGCTAGTGTACAGCAGCCAGCTTGAGCTGCCATGCCAATGTGTCTAAAAATTTTCTCTTACATTTCCTGGCAGAGCTTAGCTGATACTGTCTGTTATCCGGGTAGAAAATACAGTGATACAATACATTTACACAGTGCATCGGTCTCACCAACTCCTTGCTGTGCAAGTAGCTCCATAAATGTAAGTTTGGCACTTGGAAAACCACAAATATTTTTGGCCTGCTTACATGGCATTTTACACAAACATTTTGGCTTACTACATGTCACTGTAACATTAATTGGGGTTATTCTTTATATTAATAAATGATTTTTGCCTCAAAAATTTCCCAGTGAACATAAATGAATCTGGCCAGTATTCTCATGAAATATCTCAACATTTCCATAACGCTGCTGGCAAATGATAGCAGCTCATTTGTGCAGATGAGAAAATTGAAATAGTGACTTAGCTGTATCACCTCAAGCCTCCTTGTCTGATGTCTTCCATATATATGCTGTTTCCAAAATAACATGGTTCAAAATAAAACAAGCATATTCAAATGTCAGATAACAAGTTTATATAATCGCTTAGTCATGAAGGCAGTTCCAGAAGGAGGTAGAAGACAACCAAAACAGAATATTGTAATTTTTATAAAATGAGAGGTAGAGAAAGGACTAGGAAACAGTCCAAAAGGCTCCTAGACAGTAACATCCTCTCCTAATTAGAGTGAAATCAGTAAAATAGTAATCATTAGGTTTACTAATATCCACTGAAATACAAAATAAAATAAGAAACACAGTTCATGCCTTGGCTTGATAAGTGCAAGAAAAACAGGATTTGCCTGCAGTTGTTTTGTTATAGCTTCTTACCATTCATGATGAGAAGAAACTTCTGGATAGACTGTACAAGTGGTTTTCTAGCTGCTTCTACAGATTTGTAGTTCCACTTGACTCATTCTTTCTCCTAACAAATCATGAGAAAAATAGTATCTTTTAATAAGGAACTAATGAGTTGATATCTAAGAATTTCCTAATTAATTTATTCATTTCAAAAATTTAAGTATAAATCGTTTTTAACATTAAGATGAACTGTTCAATACAACCTCCTGACCAACATTTTTAAAACCACTGTTACAGACTATTCAGACATTATTAAGTTGTAGAATCTTCTTCTCTTTCTTTCTTTCTTTCTTTATGGCTGCATTGGGTCTTTGTTGTTGCATGCGGGCTTCCTCTAGTTGTGGCGAGTGGGGGCTACTCTTCATTGCACTGCGTGGACTTCTCATTGAGGTGGCTTCTCTTGTTGCAGAGCACTGGTTCTAAGCACGCGGGCTTCAGTAGTTGTGGCATGCGAGCTCAGTAGTTGTGGCTCACGGGATCTAGAGCACAGGCTCAGTAGTTGTGGCGCATGGGCTTAGTTGCTCCATGGCATGTGGGATCTTCCCGGACCAGGGATGGAAACTGTGTGTGTCCCCTCCATTGGCAGGCGGATTCTTAACCACTGTGCCACCAGGGAAGTCCCTGCTTTTTATATACCAAAGTACGTCCAGGCTCGTAAACATTTTTAGTAAGGAAGGAAGTGAAGATAGCACCATGTTTTGTATTTTCAAGTATCATCTAGGGGGCTTCCCTGGTGGCACAGTGGTTAAGAATCTGCCTGCCAATGCAAGGGACATGGGTTGGAGCCCTGGTCCAGGAAGATACCACATGCTGCGGAGCAACTAAGCCCCTGCGCCACAACTATTGAGCCTGAGCTCTAGACCCCACGAGTCACAACTACTGAGCCCGTGTGCCACAACTACTGAAGCCCGTGCCCCTAGAGCCCACGCTCCGCGACAAGAGAAGCCACCGCAATGAGAAGCCCACACACCGCAACGAAGAGTAGCCCCCGCTTGCCCCAACTAGAGAAAGGTCACACACAGCAACGAAGACCCAACGCAGCCAAAAATAAATTTATTAATTAAAAAAAAGTATAATCTAGGAAAAGCCTTATGCACAGATTGAAAAGTAATGTGTAAATCTTTATATTGTGGGTGTGGGCCCTATGAAATCTAATCAACTACCAAAAATCTCTCTTCCACGTCTAACCCATGCCCTTCTTTACTAAGTGACACATAAAATTTGTCAAATTCAACTTTTAATACCTAGTTTAGATTTATGGATCTACAGAAGTAATGTGGAGGAAGTTATAAAGCTGCACTGTCTATTATGGCTAGCCATTAGCTACATATGGCTATTTAAATCAAAATTTAAGGGACTTCCCTGGTGGCGCAGTTGTTACGAATGCACCTGCCAATGCAGGGGACGCAGGTTCCATCCCTGGTCTGGGAAGATTCCACATGTCACAGAGCAACTAAGCCCATGTGCCACAACTATTGAAGCCTGCGCGCCTAGCGCCCGTGCTCTGCAACAAGAGAAGCCACCGCAATGAGAAGCCCACGCACCACAGCGAAGAGTAGCCCCCGCTCACCGCAACTAGAGAAAGCCTGTGCGCAGCAATGAAGACCCAACACAGCCAAAAATAATTAATTAAAATAAATCAATCAAAATTTAAATTTAATCTAATTTAAAACTCAGTTCTTCAGTTGCACTAGCCACATTTAAAGTGTTCAGTAGCCACATGAAGCTAGTGGCTACCATATTGGACAGCAGAGTTGTAGAACATTTATTGGACAATGCAGATGTAGAACAATGCAGAGAGTTTAATTTGACAAAATAGTCTAGAAAGTATTGATACATAAGGCACTTCAGTTGATAGTGGATCTCTGGACTGGATCTCTGGACTAGAACTGAAAAAAATGATAAAAAGGACATAATTGGGACAGTTGCCAAGACTGGAATATGGATGGTAGATTAGATAAAGAGTATTGTATTGATGTTAAATTTCCTAAATTTGCTAACTATATGATGAATATCTTTGTTCTTAGGAAGTACACAATGACGTACTTAAGGGTAGAGGAGGATGATGTCTGTAACTTAGTCTCAAATCGTTCAAGAAAATGATTGTGCATGTGTGGAGATAGAGAATACAATTACAAATGTACCATATCGTCAACAGTTGGTGAATTTGAGTAAAGGCTACAAAGAAGTTCTCCAAGTGTTGCAAGTTTTCCATAAATTTGAAATTATTTCAAAATAAAAATTTTACAACTCTATTCGATGTTCTCTAGCCCTTTCTAAGGCACAAAATGACATGACGATGATGAAGATGCAGTCAGAGAGACTTTCGAAAGAATATGACCGGCTCCTGAAAGAACACTCAGAACTTCAGGTGGGTGACATCCATTTTACAAGCCTCAGCTTTTTGAAATAGTAATTAATTACCTAAGTCAATTATTTGGGTTATTTGCCCTTCGCAAGCCAAGAGGATGTATTGATAGTTAATCCTGACTTTGCACAGTGATTAAATAAGCCAATTTTTGCTTGAAGATTGGGATATTGCATGAAAATAATCATAACATAGAGAATTACTGACATGCTAACTTACAGCATTCTAGCTGGGGTAAAGTTTTAAGCAAAAGAATTGAGCCATAAAAACAGCAGCATTGGAAACCAGACTGGTTCTGGAAAAATTTAGTTTTGCCATTTAGAATGTTTGCCATATGCATGCCAAAATAAAGCCAAAAATTGAAGACCCACATTACACTACTCCTTCTATCCCACTGTTTGAAATATCTTAGGACAAAGCCTGAGGCATTTAAATATATGTTTTACCTCCAGAGTTGAGTTGAAAGATGGAAATGGAGAAAACCTTTTTATCATTGAAGTCACAAAGTCAGGGGCCATGGTTTTCTTTCTGTTCCCCTTCAGTCCAACAAGAGTCAGTTCCCTACCTCCACCCATGTTGGGTTTGTCTTCCCTTCCATCTTGGGCTGCCAGCCCCTAGCCTGATTTGATTTCCCAGCCCACTTTGACCACGTGTGGGGAGAATTCGGGGAAGAGACCATTCCAGAGGCAACCCTGGCCCTCGCAATTCCTCCCAAGATAGAGGGTCTCTGCTCTTCTGCTTTCAGATTGGGTTTATCCTTAGAAACTGGCAGCATTTGTGGCCTTCAGTGAGGGCTTTTTAGCAATTACAGCTCTACAGTTATTTCGCTGTATTAGAAGCCTTAGTACCAGGACTCATTTCCCTGCATGTCAGTGGTCATTGTATCTTCAGGATCCAGCACTGTGCCTGGCACAAGACAAACAAGCATGATATTCGTAGGCTTGGAGTCAGACAGGCCTGGAATAACTATAACTTTCTTACTAGCTTTGTGATCCCAAGTAGGTCATGTCACCCCTCTGGGACTCACTTTTCTTCTTCTGTAAAATCAGAACAGTAATAACACCTGGCTCACTGGCTTGTTGGGAGGATTAAATAAAATGTGTAGGGTGCTTAGCATTGTGCCTGGCTGATAGTAAACACCCAAGGAATGATAGCTGTTATCATAATTATCACTATTACCAGTATTCCTCTGTAGAAATTTTACTGAAAGAATGACTTATTCTCATCCAGCCACTTTGGCCTTGATTAGAGCCAGTCAAGAGATAATCTGATGCACATTTGTAATCTGGTATTCCCAGATGAGTTGCATGTCTGATTTAACTGACCTACTTTGACAGTAGGGCGACCAGAGAAGGATAGATACCCTGTGGGCTCCAGACCCAGGACACCAAGAGCTCAGATCTCATGCTCTGGAGTAGGTAGTTAGATTTTCAGCAGGCCCACCCTTTCTCCATCTCTACAACAGAGGTCCTGAAATTGCTGACTTCACCATGGCATGATGAGAATTATGCAGGACCACCCTTTCTCCATCTCTACAACAGAGGTCCTGAAATTGCTGACTTCACCATGGCATGATGAGAATTATTCCATTGCATACTTAAAGATCCCCCATGGAAAGTGAAGAAACGTTTTAGAAGCCTCTCGCCTAGAAATAGAACTATTTTTCCCTCCCATTTGTGAGATCAGGGTGTAGTCAACAAGGATGAGCATCTACACCGGTGGTCTCTGCCCAGGGTATCAGAAACGTTTAGATCCCTGGATGGAGAAAGAAGCAGAGACTGTCCCATTGTGGTAACAGCTAATGATTCTGTTAATCCCTCAAGAATGTATGTGATAGTAAGATACCCTCAACCCATTTTCTTTGCCCAAAAAAGCTTCAGTTTGCAGCTTATGCATTCCTGATAAAAGATGTTCAAAAGCTTTTATGAGTAATCTCTTCCCAAGAAAGTAGTTTTTATACCTGTCTTTGAAAAAATGTCCTCATCCCAGATACGCCAGGTGCCAGGCTCAGAGTTGGGCCTTGCTGCATTTAAGCCTTGTATCCAGGTTTTTGAAATACTTAATGGATGACATTTACTGAGGGTGTGCTCAGGACCAAGCACCTAGCTGATGGCTTCATATATGTTATCTGCATTCTCCTCTTGATAGCCCATCAGATTATTGATAAAATACATATTTTAATACCCTATTTTGTGAATGAGGGAAAGGAGACCCAGAGATGTTAAATAATGTACGCAAAGTCACTGAACTGAAAAGTGATAGCATTCAAAGTTGGATTTAAAGTCAGGAAATCTTTCTTCAGAATTTCCATCATTAACCACTATGCTCCTTCACCTGTGCTGGTCATTGGACTGTGGGTTCTAGGGTCTGCTGTCTGGATTCTGGGGAGATTCAGACAAAGGGAGGCACTGGTAGAAGACTGAAGGCAGGAGGAGGGGGAAAAAAGCCAAGAAAGTCTCCTGTTCTCTCCACTTCGGGTGGCATCTGCCACAGCAGCCTCATCTCTTTCCATGGTCCCAGTTCCCACTGGGTGTCTTCCACCTGGTGGGACCTCGTTCCTGGGATCTGTTAACACTGTCTCCTCCATTTCCCTCCAGCCCAAAGAATGGTTTTCTGCCGTTGCTAATACCTGAGGTGTCTTTTACCACCCTGTGTGGTGTGTCTACTCTCTCACCACCTATAAAACCAATTCCCTGTGATAAATATCTGATGAAAAAACCTCTCAGCTCCATGGTTGACCAGTTCTGTAAACCTTGGGTGAATCATTTGACATTCATGCAGCTTGGCTTCTTCAGTACTTAGATGAGGATTATAATATTTCATGAGCATTAAATCAGATCCTGGGCAAGAAAGCACTTTAAATATATTTAAACAAGAAAAACTCTCTACAACTGTACGGTGCTACGAGTTATTTCTCAATTGGACACTTTTTTTTTCCCATCCACCTACTTAACCCTCCATTGTCCAGTAGGAGAACCTGAATAAGATTCTGAAATATAGGTGTCATTAAATGAGAACCATTTTCTTAAAAGTGACTCTTACACTTTGATATTCACCTTCTGAACCCAGCTGAGAAGCAAAAGATTGCTGTAGACCATCTACAGTAAAAAGCTGTACCAAACTGTTCTTCAAGATTTTACTTCAATTGTCAGACCAACCTAAATAATTGAATTACGTCATAAAGTTCATTGGGAAACTTAACTTTTCAATTTTATATGCTTGATTTACTTTAAATAAAATAATCATAAAATAAAGGACTGTTAAAACATTAAGGAAACAGGTGGAAGAGAGGAAAGCTTGTTTCTTTACTGTAAACAAATCCCACTTTACATCTTTTAAATTTGTTTGGATTTCCCCATCTGATCCCCTTCCTGTTATAGGCACTAAATAAATATTAGAAAATAATCCCTTTGAAATATGTAGGCTTTGCTGTTCCTTGTTTGCCCTGGCTCTCTTCTAGAAAAGAAAACCCAGAATGTACTCAGGATAATTGGCAGCTAGCCATTTTTAAAATTTCATTTTGGAAAATCACCCTTCACTTAAGGGACTTATCCAGAATAGCAGATCCATTAAAGCTGTGCTTTTTTTCTAAAGTGGTAAGATACATGTAAACACATAAAAGCAGTACCTTGTTACTCATATACCTCCTCTAATGCTGTCTTCTGACTCTATTGCTTAAAGTTGATGTTACTGAAGTTGCTCTGAAAGCAGAAATGCTCAGCCCCAACGAGAGCTTGATAGCTTCCCGGGTGCAACAATAACCCCGGAACTCCATTGTTTGTGATATTTTTTCTCAGTGTAGATGTCTACCTTCTACGTGCAAGTGATCTCTATGGTTAACTTCTATCCCATTTTCCTCCAGTTTTAAATCATGTATTATAGTCGTCTTGAGATCAGCAAAGAGTATAATTTGAGAAGCCAGTTCTATTGGCAAATATCTGAAGAACAAAAAAAAGGGCCACCCCATATGGGTTTTTTGGTTCCCTTCATTCTTTCTTTGCCAAAAATCTTCATTAAGTTTGCAAGAGGGAAATTTTAGAAATTTTGTTTTCCTTGTATAACCTGTGAAATGAAAGCAAAATAGATTAAAGCAGAGGAAAAGGTGAACTTATCAAGAGTGTTATTTTTATCCCTCTAAGCACTTTTTCAAGTAAAACTACTCATTTTGTAGTTTTTTAAAATTTGAGACTTTCTCAATCTGTGTTTTAATTTGATATTCTCATAATAACTATACACAGAAAAGGATGTTTTTTAAAAGTCCTTGTCATATTTATGAATGTGTTTCTCACTCTTGCTGTAACTACCTGTCACATTTTTTTTTTCTTGCAGGATCGTGCAGGGAAAGGCAATAAGAAAGGCCTGTGAACTTTATGAAAGAAGACTGTGATACACCATGTCAAGAGGATAAATTTGTTATCATGTTAGCCTCTAGAAAACTTAAAGTTCAGTTCAGAAAAACATACTGTCTATGACCAGCCAATATTTTTTTTAATGCCACACACATAGGCTATTGTCATAATGGCATTATCACAATATTTGATGATGTTTCAGATATATTGTAAAGTCTGTATTCTAGCTCTCAAGTGAAATATAAGCATGTTAAACACCTTATCTAGATACTGATAGTAACACTGGTGTATGGTGGCTGTTTACCAATAAAAGGAGAAATTCATTAGCCACTTACTTCCAAACTTAGATTTTTAAGTTGCATGAAACCATTAAATAGCCTTAAAAGCTTTGATGAATTTCCAATAATAATACTACTCTTACTTAATCAGACGATGGTGTATTTGAAAATAGTATTCAATATCAGCAAGTTTGTTCATAGGGAGATTAACTAAGGATAAATGATTAGAAGTAGCTACTATATTTATAGGGAAGAGTCAGAAAAAGCAAAAACAATGACCTTAAGTTTTATTTTTTTAAGCCTGATGGTACTGCAGTTGACTGTCATAAGACAACTATATTGATAATTATATTTTCGTTACTGTGCTTCTGCACCTGTTGGGGATTATTTTTGTTGTCATTTGTGTTACTAACACATAATTAGTAAAGATTCTGCTTTTTTAAAGTTCATCTGGGAATGGAGTTTACATCTATTTGCATAACTGCCACAGCACTGAACTGAAATTATTTTACAACAACGTGGAATTCTTGACTTGGAAATGTATAATGTATCCAAAAAGCAGTGTTTCCCATTGCTGTGAGAGTTGCTAATTATACAAATATTACCTCAAATATACACACAGTGGCGTCACAGTTTTGCCAAGATGTTTCTGTATTCTGAAAGCTAAATATTAAATACTGTTTTTCCATTCAAATATTCATTTAGTTTCCTTTAGGAGAGGATGATTGTATATTAATGCGATTTAGGTTGTTCCAGTGTTTAGACTTGAAAAACCGTCTTCCTTGTCTCATAAAGGCCTAAATATAAAAAAAATGGAAAATAACTACTGGAGTTTTTACTTTTCTGGTATTTGTTTTATCCTTTGTTATTTATTATCATTTTAGCACCAACTTCATGCATATTTAATTTTTTTCACTGTAAATTGGGTGAAGTGAGCAAGTACGTAAGTATTTTGTTTCAGATAAAAGGAGTTACTGCTAGAAAACAGACATGTAGGAGACATTTAGCAGAGTAAGAAATGGGAGTTAGACCATATGGGCTGACAGCACCGTAAATAACAAGGCAAGGGAGCACTGACAGAGGAGAGAACTGAACAAGTAGCGACTTAGAAATATCGAAGTGCGATCTACCTGGTTAAGGATATAGATACTGTTTGTGATCCTGGCCTGGTGAACAGAAATCAAGTCTAATGACAGAGTAACATACAGAAAGTAGAAAATACACAGCTTTAGAACTGGTAGAACCAAATTGTAATCCTAGCTTCAGCACTAATTTAGCCATGGGATTTTGTACAAATTATTCAAACTTGCTAGATTTAAATTTCCTCACCTCCGAAATGGGAATCATAATATTTAGGTCAGGGTTATTATATAAACTAAGATAACACAGTGATTCGCAAAGTTGTGCAGACTGTACAGCAAGGGGAAAGTCCAGTTGCTCTTTGAAGAGCATAAGGATTTGAAAGATTCCCAGAAGATACTTTAAAGTACACATTTAAGTATTCTTTGTCCTCAACCCTCTCAGTTGTCCAGGTCTGCAAACTGAGGCCTGAAAAGTGTATGCAGTTTTCCCAAGTTAACATGGATAGTTAGATCCAGGGCTAGGATTTGAGTCTAAAATTTAGGTGTCCTAGTTCCCCAGCTATTACTCTAGTTTTTATACACAAATTAGCTATAATTTGCTAAAAAGAATACTGCCATGTACTAGCCAAGGTCTGGACTATGGAGTCTGGCTCCCATGTCGTGTGTTTTACACTACACTGAAGGCCTCTCGAGCTCTGCTTCTTAGTTCTTATGAGTCTCCTTGCCGGTGAGGGTGTTTAGCAAATCCTATTATTATAAATAAACATGTATTCCATGGATTTAGTTAGACTGCATATTAAGTTATGTTCCTCCTGTCAGTAATGACTTCTTTTTTTTTTTTCTTTTTTTCTTTTTGGCTGCATTGGGTCTTTGTTGCTGTGTGCGGGCTTTCTCTAGTTGCGGCGAGGAGGGGCTACTCTTCGTTGCAGTGCGCAGGCTTCTCATTGCGGTGGATTCTCCTGTTGGCGGAGCACGGCCTCTAGGTGTGCGGGCTTCAGTAGTTGTGGCAGGCAGGCTTCAGTAGTTGTGGCAGGTGGGCTCAGTAGTTGTGGGTCACGGGCTCAGTAGTTGTGGCTCGCGTGCTCTAGAGCGCAGGCTCAGTAGTTGCGGCGCACGGGCTTAGTTGCTCTGCGGCATGTGGGATCTTCCCAGACCAGGGCTCGAACCCATGTCCCGTGCATTGGCAGGTGGATTCTCAACCACTGCGCCACCAGGGAAGTCCCAGTGATGACTTCTTTATATCTTAGGCTGTATTATAGGTTCAAACACAGAAGTGTTATTCTTGCCCTTTGCTATAAGTTGCTTAAAAGTTTTGTGAGACTCTGTCCTACTTGCAAATGTACCTTGAAGTTCCAGACTCCAGGAAGTTGCACTTAAGAAGTTCTAGCTGAGCATCTAGAATTTGGCGTTAGTCACCTTCATTGCTTGCCGGGCTCTGTCTTGGGCCCCAGTACTGGTAAGTAGATTACCTGGAACCCCAGTCTAGAGCCTGGAATTTAACTGCTTTCTATGGTGCAGTCCTGATGCCACCAACCTGCCTGGATCTCTAAAGACCCATGCTGTGGTCCCAGAGCTGTTCTGCTTGCCTGCTGAGACCTCACAGCCTCCTTGGACCTCAGAGCCACAGCCACGTGGCTGCACCTGCTCCTGTCCTCCTGCCCCGCCTCTGGGGCTTGGTCTGGTTCTGCCTTCCCATCCCGTTGTCCGTTGCCTTCTCACCATCCCTCCCATCTACATCCCACCACAGTGGAACGGCCATGCCCGGACCAACTGACAGGTGACACACCTTATGTTTGAGGGCCCACAATGCAGTGCGTAAATACAGCGGTCCTTTTATGCCTTGACTAATATCTAGAATGAGTTATTTGAAGGCCATGAAGCCCTTTTGAATTTTATTTATTCTTCAGCCTTCCTTTCCTAGAATTCTTGAAACACCACTAATGAAAATACCATTTTCATTTTTTAGCATTTCTTTCTCTAAATTTACCAAGTGGCATTTATTTCACAGTATTGCTTTCCACCTTGATCTCTAAACATACGACTTTATTTGTCTTTCCTTGTATAGCCAAAAGTGATTTCCAACACTACAAAACTGAAAACAGCGCCCAGAAGCTGTCCATGTCCTGATGCCTGGAATCTGAATATTCTCGTCTGGCAAAAAAGTGAATATTCTCTGATATGGCAAACCACGTGATGAAGTTAAGGCTCTTGTGACGGGGAGATTATCCTGAATGATCTGAGTGGGCCCTAAATGCCATCACAGGTCTCCTTAAAAGAAAGAGGCAGGGCTTCCCTGGTGGCGCAGTGGTTGAGTCCGCCTGCCGTGACCACAGACGCAGAAAGCAGAGCGCTGCAGCCACCAGAGCTGGAAGCGGCAAGGGACGGGTTCTCCCTGGAGCCTCTCACAGGAGCCGGACCCTGCACACCCCAGCCAAACTGATTTTGGACTTCTGGACTTCAGAACTGTGAGACAGTAAACTTGTTCCAAGCCACCAAGTGCGTGGTAATTTGTTACGGCAGCCACAGGAAACTAACGCAGGAACATGCAGGACAAATCTGTAATGGGCTGGAGTGAATTTCACAGCAGGTAGAAAACAGACACTCTTTGACACCAGCTGGGCTTCCCCAAAGATAGCCTTAGCCGTCTCCCCTCTTAGTTCTCTTCCTCCTTCAATTTTATTTCTCTCCAGCCCCACTGCCACTGCCAAACCAAGCCATCATCCCTCCTCACCTGGACTACTGTCACCACTCCCTGCCCGTCTCCCTAGGTCCACACTCTCAGAAACCACAGCATTCCCTGCTTAAAGTCTAGCAGTTATTCCCACTGCACCTCAGATGAGACTCCCGAGATCTCATCAGGCCCCTACCTCCTCTCCAGCCTCACCTCCGTCTACGTGCCCTGCCGACCACAGCGGCATTCAGAGTCCTCTTAGAACAAGCCAAGTGCTTTCCCCTCTCAGCATTTTTACATACACAGTACCTCCTCCCAACCCTATTTTGTTTACCCTATTTTATTTTTATCATATTTTATTTTCATACTTATCATTGTCTGAAATGATCTCATTTATGGTTTGGTTTTGTCTCCTGCCCGGAGACTTACACAATTCCTACACACACTAGAACAGTATTTCTCAACAGGCAGTGGGGAAGATGTTCCCAAGGGACACTTAGCCATGTCTAGAGGTGTTTTGGGTTGTCATAACTAAGGGACTGCTGTGGGTGGGTAGAGGCAAGGGATGCTGCTAAACTCACTCAACAATGCACAGAATCAACTACCATTTTGACCAACATCCTTAAGATATTAATTAGTCCCTTTTCCAGGCCAGTAACATATTTCTCTTCAAATCCCGTTGGCAGATTTGATGTTGTGGAAGGGCCTGTGTCTGGGGTGTTTCATTAGCCACTTGAACCTTTACTGCAACTCTTATTTTTCCTTTCCCTATGATTAAAAATATATACACACTTGTGTATGTGTGGCTGTGTATGTGTGTGATGTTTCTAACTCTTTGAAAAATAAAAGAGGCAAGGGCAGGGGCAGATCTACAGTTTGCAGCGGAGGGGGGTTCCTAGATAAAATTTGTAGAGATCTCTGTAAGAAAAACAATATAAAATTACCAAAGCAAAATTAGGTTTGAACATGAGAATTTCTTTAGAATAAGAACAGAAATGACAACAAATTGCTAGAGACTTGGAGACCCAGATCCCTTTCTTCTACGGGACTCCTTAACTCCATATAAATCTGCCTCTAGGGAAGAAATGGGAGGGCAAAGTTAATGTAATCAACATGCTGAAAACTTTTTCGAAATCTAACGGAACATGCATCACAATCACGTTTTTATTTCATAGTAAGTATATTAGTTTCCTATTGCTGCTGTAACACATTACCACAAATGTGGCT